GGAAGCAGAGTTTGTTCTTTCTATGGTTTAGGGCAGGATAAGAGTGGTGGGTGGTGAAGACCTCCAACAAGGTGATGTATGTAACCAAGCCGGAGGTATCCGAAAGGGCAAGGGTGCTGTGTCCCCCTCTCAAAGAGATGCCTGAAGCATTTGCCTTTTAACAGAGGAGATCAACCCTGCTCTCAAAAATTGCTCCAGAGACAGATACCCAGGAACGAAACCAAAGCCCTGAGATAAATGCAAAGGCAAGCATGTGGCCAAGGCAGCCTCCCATCAGCCACTAAGGGGGTGCTTCCTTCCCGGGCTGATCCCTGGGATTACCCCAGAGCCTACAGCTTCGCCAGTGATTCATGGGTGACAACTGGAGCCCGACACCCTACCTGGAGGCGGTTTCCTTCATGTTGTAATATTTGCTTCACAAACATGTCCCTGTTACCTAGGCTAGAGCCAAATATACCTTACAGGCTGAGGTCCTGAGGTCCACAATACACTTCACTGCTCAAATGCCCATCCTTTTCTGCTGAAATATGTCCCAGTCGAGAAGAGACATGGAAATGGTCTCATTTAAAGAGACCACTAGCTCTGAAAGATTCCCCTTAGTCTGGTGGTGCTTCCTGGGATGAAGCCCACACTCTGTGAGATGTGGGAATGACTGGTGCCTTTGCTTGTATTGTTGATTTATTTATGATTTTCCCATTTGCCAACGACAGGCTCTACAGAACATTCAAGGACAGCAAGTACCTGTACATGCTGATGGAAGCCTGTCTAGGTGGAGAGCTATGGACAATTCTCAGGGACCGGTGAGTTCTAAGAAACTATTGTCCTACAAAGTGGAATATTTTCTAATATGCCCCCAAATAACCAAAGGTCTTTATCTTTGATGGGCAAACTCTGGATCTTATCAGACCATGTTTGATTTAAGATCCCAGAAAAGTGAGAAGCTATTTTTGTTCCTACACAGTTGACCAGAGACAAAGTCAATCCAGTCATAACAGAATAAGGACTGATTTAGGTTGTGTCCATCATGTACAAGGTTTTGTGTAAGCGGAGACTTACCCAGAGGTGCTTTGTCATGGCTTCTCTGAAAAAATTACAGAATGTAGTGGTTGTAGTGATGGTCATCATGTGATAAATTGCATCTACAATATGTCTTTCACTGTGCTTTCCCCATAGCTTCATCTCTAAAGGGTGCCCCTAAGTAGCTCTTGGCATATTTTCATTTTACTCTAATTAATTAAATTATTATAATTTTTATTATTATCTGGAACAACCTGTTACAACCACAGAAATTACGGATATGTTCTTATTGCCCATGCTACCATTTCTCATGTCTGGGAGCCTGGCTGGAGGGTCAGGCACCTGGTAGGGAAACATGGGACTGTCCTTAGGTTTACAAAGACTTCAGGCACCATGTATGACAGCAGAGAATGACCTTGGAGAGTGCAGCCAGGCATTGAAGGAGGTGCAATATCAAGGCCAGTCTTGCTGCGTTCCTGCAAGACATGCTTTGGAGACAGTGCAGCACCTTTAGGCATCACTGCCATGGCCATTTTAAACTCTGAACTTACAAACCAAGGCCCTAAGCCAGCAGTGGCATTAGTGAGAGTTCATAGTTGCAAACCAAATCTATGGAGAAGTGGATTTTCAAGGTAAAAAAATGCAGAATTCTTCAAAGTCATCTGAAAAAAACCCACAATTTCCCATCCTAGAGAAAGACCTGCTTCTTTCATGTCAGTATTTGCTCTGCTGCCCACCCTCTAACTGTGAATAGCAACATCCACCTTTATTGTGGATAAAAAAATTATAATTTCTTAATATTTAGGACATGGTCAGGTATGGTAATGATGAGCAGTATGAAATCAAGGGCTTTTAGTCCAGATATCACATATTAAACAAGGGCCAGTCATCAAAGTGGGAAACAGGATCAGGCATCAAATCCACATCCTGCAAGGAGCACTACAGGACCATGGAAAAACTCATTAGGAAAGCATGTAATTACACACCGGGCATAATGCACAAGCAAATGTGGTGCTGGTATTTCCTGCCTGGGGAGGGTTTGACCTTGCAGCAGTTGGGTTTGGGTGGGTGTAAGTGGGTTGTGCTGGTGTACACGGGACCTGCACATAACACCCACGGGGCAGGGAAAGGTGCAATGACTCACGTGTAACTAAGTAATAGGCTCGTAAAAGGAACATGATTTAATTAAATTTGAGAAGAGGAAGAAATGCATCGGAAAGATTGATTGGAAAGCAAATATTAAATTAATTTTTAATTACCTAGAAGGAAATTTTTGTAGTTAATCCTTTCCTAACAGCGTGCCTTCTCCGGATCATTAAAATGGGAAGTGTAGCGAAGTTAGCAGGTGAAACAGAGCCTGATAATTTCATCTGTAATTCTTTCAGCTTTAAGTCGTGGTTCTGCTGCCACCTAGCTTAGGCGTGCTTCTGAGCTCAGCCAGCTCCCACCATGCACTCCCAGTGAGCAGGGAGTGTGTGGTTTGCTTCGGAAAACTGGTTGCAATTTGGTGCTGAATGGAGGATCCAAGAGTGCAGTTTATGCTGAATTTGCAATTAACATTTCCAGTCCCAGCAGCTGCAATTTTTCTGCCTTTGTATCTGTTATGAACATTAGTACAGGAATTCTTGATTTACGCAGCTCAAAATAGCTTTTGCACTCAAAAGTCAAAGATTATAATAAAAAAATCAGCTGTTACTTAGAAGGTATTTGTAAATTTTACTTCTAGGAGATGTAATTATAAAATGAAATAAATACTTTTATATTGAATAAATAAAAATATTTTAGATATGAGTGTTTGATATGAAGGTGGATTGAAGGCAAAGATCCTGACTTCAAAACTGGAAATGCAATTAAATGTATATATAAAGGTGAGCTTAGCAACAGCCACTTTCCAGGTGTTAGAGTGGTTCTACTGAACTGTATAGATATTTTAACAGTAGGGTGAAGTCCAGTGGGGAAGAGATCTAATTGCTTTATCCCCTTTTCCCTCTCTTGTTTTACACAGAGGTTCATTTGAGGATTCAACGACCAGGTTCTACACGGCGTGCGTGGTTGAAGCTTTTGCCTATTTGCATTCCAAAGGGATCATTTATAGGGACCTCAAGCCAGAAAACCTCATTCTGGATCATCGAGGTTATGCCAAACTGGTGAGTGCCTGCAACATCGGGTTTTGCAAAAAAAAAAAAGCCACCGCTACTTCCAGAAAACTGGTGTTACAGATAGAGGAGAACACAGGATTAGCCACAGAGGATCAGGAGCAAAGTCCACCCAGCCCAGGTTCCTGTCTCTGACTCATCAGTAGGTGCTGAGATGAGATCGGGAAAAGGATGTTGTCACACACCACTGGGATGTTTTCCCAACCTCCAGCAGATTGAGACTCGGCGCACAGCTGAACAGGGAAATGCTCGTTCTGACTTAAAATTCACATCTGTGATCTTGAAGTGGAAGTGTTTAGAGAAGAGTGTCAGGAGAAATCCACCCAGCTGTTATGGAACTACTGAAAGACTAAAAGATAACTTGAAAATAGGTGTCTTCAAATATTGTTGGGAGAGTGGAAGGACTTGCAACTGTGGGCTTTAGAGGTGACTGGTGGAACAAATTGTGAACACTGCTGTGCATTCTTAATGGAAATATTAATCATTATTCTGTCATGGCAAGAAGTTATTATTATTAATTGCTCTGGACTGTGTTGCTGAACTGGAGCCAATACAGCTTCGTGCTTTAGAAGGGCCACTTGTATTTTAGCAGCAGTAACACACCTGACTGATCTATGCAAGCTCCTCTGGGACAAGCATGTAAGGCTCTGCCTGAAACTGCTCTTCCCAGGAGGTCGTGGTCCTTCTCAGTGCTGTCCCCCTGCAGATCCATCTCCTCAAACCAAGATGGCAGTGTGTGCAAGACCACTCCTCAAATTAGGAAGTTCCTGATGCATTTCACTGTATCGTGTTATTCACTCAAATTACTTTCTTGCCTCAAAAATCACTGTAGAGGTGCTCTGCATGTAAGGTGATGCCAGATGAGACTGTGGAGAGAAGAAAAGAAAGACTTCTCTTGGTGGGAGGTGCTGGAGGATGTGAGCACGTGGGATGCCATCAGTGAAGGATGGGGCGATGCACTTCTAAAAAGAGTTGCTCCAAGAGGGGCTGATGCCCTCCCTGAGAGTCACAGGGCATCAAGGTCTCTGCCTCTCAGGCTGGGGTTTTTTCCCTGCCTTTGGGAAGGGAAACTCAGGAATGACATCAGCAAGTGGGAGCAGTAAGTCAGACCATCACGGACCTTTATGGCCTGGTGACAGCCACCATTTATCACCATGACGCTAAGCCTAATGAATGACATCAGAGTTTATCCTCTACAGCATTTGGCTTAGGCTGGAGGGTTTAGCGAGGTGCAGGAGTGCCCTTCTCCCCACCCCAAGAACCAGGGTTTGTGCTGGTGCCATCACCAACCCTCAGCTCCTTAGACATTGTAATCTTCCTGAATGCATCCATGATAACCCAAGAAGTGTCCCACATCCCTTGTGGGTCTGTGATCATGTAGGACATTTTGCCCCTGCCCAGCACAGGAAGGTGCAGGAGCGTATCACAGCCATCAAGGGACAGCAGAGTGTGCTACAGACCACAGCTCTGAGCCAGCATAGCGCCGAAGCAGGGGAGTGCAGAGGGGGTAGACTTAAAAACACAGTAAGTATAACAACCTAAGCTCTACCTCGGCCCCTAAGGCTTCGGTTCCCAGTATAATCTGAGTGTCTGTGCTTGACAGTGCCATAGGGACACTGCTGTAGGGGCACGCTATGGTTTGTGAGCCTGCTGGCATGTTGTTATAGCCTCAGATAACTTGGGAGGACACTTGTACTGCATCATTTTTTATGCTGGGAGAGAAATCTGAATTTTTCAGTGGATGCCAAAATAGTCGGTATTTAGCCTAAATAGTTCCTTACTCAGGTGGAGACTGGGAGTTAAAAAAACAAACAAACAAAGAAACAAACCAAAAACCAAAGCAAAACAAATCAACCTGAGCTATGGATTATATGAAGTTACATTTCCCTGGAAACCCTCAGTGCTGGCATTTGTTCTTCTTCCCTCACAAGAATCTCCTTTTTATATTACGAAGGATAAATCGGCGAAAAGGTCACTGCAGTTGCCTGGTTCTGGAATGACCCACGATGCTGTAGTTAGGCAAATATTCCCCCGAGGAAACTTTCTTTCTGCTTTGCTTCACTTCAAGAGGAGCGGAGCACACGGCTGACGCTGCCTCTCGTGCTCTGCCCTGATGGCACTCTGCTCCTTTCCACAGGTCGATTTTGGCTTTGCAAAGAAAATAGGATTTGGAAAGAAAACATGGACTTTTTGTGGAACCCCAGAGTATGTAGCCCCCGAGATCATCCTGAACAAAGGTCACGACATTTCAGCAGACTACTGGTCACTGGGAATCTTAATGTATGAACTCCTGACTGGCAGGTATGGGCATTGGGGTCAGCACCACTGCTGAAAATAGAGCTGAATATTTCTGCTGTTGTCACCCTGATTAGGCAAGGGGAAGATTCAGAGCTGGTGAGTGCTGTAGCAGCACAGCACTGGGTTGCTGCACCTAATAATTAGGTTTTCCACTTTAAATCACAGATTCCATGCAGACCTCTCAAAGGCCAAGACATGAGCAGGCTTTTTAGGAAGTGCTGTGAGGTGACACCCGAAAATTCATTTTTGGGTCTGGTCTATACCTGAGAGTGAGCTGAACATGGTGGGGAAAGGGTTGCAGTTCAGCCAGAGAGGTGCAGTGAGGGATTGCTGTACATCTGAAAAGGAAGAGGTAGACTTGACACCATGTGTACTTGAGTCCCTGTATCCATCCCTTCCCTTATTTAGGGTAGGATGTATGTGTTACTGCTCATGTTGGCACTAGCAGCTTCCCTGCACTTTGTCACCTCATCCCCTATCACTTACTCCCAGGATACAGGAGTCAGAAAAGAATCCATCACCTCAACCTGCTTATCTTTTGAGGCTGAACCCAGGCCCCTTTTCTGTTAAACCAATAGAAACCTAATTAATCCCCACTGAAAGCATGTCCCAACATCAAACGGAGAATAAACCAGTGAGCATTGCTCCCACCCTTATTTCTTGGGCTGTTGGGCCATGGGCCACAATGGAAGGGAGAGGTTTAGTAGGTGCTGCTGCAGAAAATGTGACTTTACTCTTTGGTACCTCCCTCCAGCCAGCACCACTGGCAGTATCAGAGCTTCTTGGCTCAGAGATACTTAAGCAAAACATTGCTAACTGTCATCTGCCTTTTCTCATTACTGTATGTTTTGCTTTGTTGATCTTTTTTCTGTTTTAAAGACAAGCTTTTAATAATTTTCTTTTTCCTCTCCTCTCCAAAGTCCCCCTTTCTCAGGCCCAGACCCCATGAAGACCTATAACATCATATTAAGGGGAATAGACATGATTGAATTTCCAAAGAAGATTGCCAAAAATGCTGCTAATTTAATTAAAAAACTATGCAGGTAAGCACACAAAATATAAACACCTTGATCTTATTTACAAATATGTGAATCATTCAAAAGGATTAAGAAGGTAACTGAATTATTATTCATTTTATAGGGACAATCCATCAGAAAGATTAGGGAACTTGAAAAACGGAGTGAAAGATATCCAAAAGCACAAGTAAGTGTCTTCTCCACCATCCATCAGGTCCAACTCACATAAACACGCATTTCAAACACTTCAATTTTCAGAGAAAATGCTCTTAAACTCCTTTGACCTTTCCCTCCTAGTGTGCTTCAGACTCTAATTGAATTTCCATCAGTCTTTTTTCCCCAATGCTTTAGTATAGATGTCAGCCTTGCCTCTGAGCAGAACACATTGCACATTGACCATTACACTTCAATTACTCTAATGCAGAAGAGCATTTGGGAGCAATCTAACTCAGCTACTGCCTGCTTGGGGTTTTTTTTCTTTTCAGTTTGAGGAATCACTTTCCAAGGTTTTCCTTGATTTCCCTCCCTCCCCCCTGCCCCAGCCCAACACATCTTCTCTCTACCCATAATGTTAATTCATAGTCCCTTTTGGTCTGATGGGACAGAGTTGTTAAGTCTTCTAAGTTTTCACACTGCTGAAGGGGAGTAAGAAGAAGTTAGAGACCCATTGCAGCAGTAGGTTATCATCTCATCCATCCATGCAGGTCCTTATCTTGTCCCATCCATGAAGCAACAGAAATGGGTTGGTTGGGTATTTTGGGGTGGACAGATTGAAGGCTCAACTCAGGGCTTATCCACCCACCTAAGCTACTGTAGCTTAAGCAAACCTGAGGTGCCCAAACTAGGAGGAGGACATCCCTGTGCATCCCCTTAGCTCCTGATCTCATATGAAGAAGGGACTTTAGGGGTCTTGTATGGGAGGGATTCACCCTATAGGGAGGAAAAAGCAGCTGCCAGGAAACCAGCAGTGAGGAATGGTTTTCTTCCAAGTGTTGGCAATTTATACTTGTCATGGCATCACCAATGGGTTGCTATACACACTTAATTTTCAATCCCAAAAAACATATATAAAGATGACAGGAGAAATTATCAAGGCTAATTGGACAATTTTAAGAAGATGACTGCAGGAGATCGTCTTCAAGTTGTCCAATTAGCCTTAAGAATTTTTCCTGAATGAAAATGTTTAAGCAATTTAAATTTTGTTTTGTGCTAGAGAGAGATTTTCACTGTGTGTCTAACTGTTTACTTGTTCCCTCCCTTGTAGATGGTTTGAAGGCTTTAACTGGGAGGGATTACGAAAAGGGACACTGACACCTCCTATAATACCAAGCGTAAGTTTTCCTCATTGTTTTCTCCTTCCTGGGCAGTAAGTTTCTTCTACATGAATGTTGTGAGCTTCAGGCACTAACACACTGTAGATAAGTGGCAACAGCATGTGCTTTATAACTTCTGGGGATGCTTGAAGAAGTCACGTTAGAGACATTTCCATCTATATTTGGTCTCTGGGCAGTCTCTTCCAGGAAACGGCAGTTTGGGAAGGGCATGACTATGAGGAAATGCCCTTCTGAGCAGGAGATTGCTGCAGGATTACTCACTACTCCACATTTTTCTCTTTCTCACCTGTTCCACTTGTTTCTTCATCTACTTTTCACATTTCAGTGGAGAGCTGCCACTTTCACCCCTTCCCTCAGATGTGTCCTCTTTCTTTCTCCTTTATTCTTACTTCTTTTGGCAAGGCAAGTGAGATTTGTATACCATCTCCCTTTTCTTTTGCATTAACCTTTCTCTCTGGCTTTTCTTTTGTGCTTTTCACCCTTATTTTCCCTGTGTCTGTGTCCTACATGAAAAGCCCTGTTGCCTCCTAGTTTATGTTTAACCGGGAGCAGACGCAAAGGGACAGCTCGACTCATTTTCCTTTTGGAGCAAAGCTCTTCCTTTGATGTCTTTGTGAGCTCTTTACCCACAAAGTCTGCCGCAAAGGGAAACCAAACAGGATTAGCCGATAGAAATTACCTTGGCCCCTTCTGTTCTGCAGCCTCCCCTCCTTGTTTCAACTTAATCCCCTTCTCTCCATGCCTCTCCCGTGGGATCACCCAGAGAATAACATTAGCAATCGTGGTTAATTGCACGCCGTTGCTCCGTCTGCCCATGGTCCTGCATCTCCTGCAGCAGTGGCAGGCACAGCTCCGGGGCTAAATCTGCCAGCCCAAAGTTTTCTTAGCAGCTATGAAAGAGCAAGATGGTTTTGTGTCCCCCTTTTGCCCTATGGGCTGCAGAAGTTATTGACAGTTGGTGGGAGACAGCAGGACTTTGCAATTATCTGCCTAAAGCAGGATGCCCAAAGAACATATAAATGTTTTATAAATCAAAACTGCTTTTTTCTGTTAAGCTTCTTTTTAACGACTATTAATTTGTCAGCAGTACTGTTCGCCACATTTCAAGTCACACAATACAGTCCAGTTTGCTCCTTTACATTCAGTTCCAATTTGTGGTTTACCGGTGCAGGATGTCTGTGTAGCCTGAAAATGCACCAATATGCTTCTCTGACTGGTTTTAGCAGATTTTTAGTGTAGTAAGAACATTTCCAATACTGCTTTTACCCAGCATATGTATGGACTGTGCATGTCTAACCCTCAGACAGCACAACTAGCAGCAGTGATGTCAGCAGTATCTGCTTTCTATGGGCATGAATTGCTTCCTGATGTCCCCAACACTTTTGCTCCCAGAGGCAGAGCTCACACAGGGTGGGCTGAGAGAAAAAAAGGGATGTGGTGTAGCCCATGGCACCATGGAGGAGGGCAAGTGTGGAGCACTCCAAGGGTGAGGACCTGAAGGGTTAAGGTTCTCCAACTCAGCAGTACCAGCACCAACAGCATAAACAGTATTCACTGCACAGTGAAGCATCTCTTCACTCTCTAGTACTCCACTAAGCTTTTACAGATTTGGGTTTTTTTCAAAATGTGTTGGGTATTCAAGGATCTTAATTTTCCACAAGATGTTCTCAGCGGCAGGAAAATGCTGAAGCAGTTGGGCAGCAAATTAAATTTAAAGCTGAAGTTGGAGCTCTTGTTGATCAAATAGTCTTTTCCCAAGGCTTATAGCAGCATCCAGTATCAAATACATAGGATCCTGGGACAACGGTTAGCAAGGCTCACAGTAAGAGCTTTAAACTAGGTTTGAATGGGGGAGAGGGGGGAACGGTATATACCACAGCTCACAAGAAATGAGCCTGTGGGTGAAGCACTGACATGTGTGGGACGGTGCGCTAGTGACACTCTTTGGACTACTGTCCCAGTGGAGGTAGGGGATGGAGTTCCATACAGCAACCAAGATGCAAGGGTTACTGATGAGTTAGTAACCATGGAAGCTCCTGAGAATGGCCTGGCAGAAATTAGGACTTCTCCTTGTGAAAAGGTGGCAGAACCTTTAGCCCAACTGAAGTGTGTCTACACTAATGCGCACAGCATGGGCAATAAGCAGGAGGAACTGGAAGACATTGTGCATCTGGATAAGGTGGGCTTTCAGGCAGGCAGTGACGAGATTGCAGCAAGTAGTTTGAGAACAGTGAAGAGGGATTTCAGGAGCTTGGAACGGCTGGTTAAGGGATCAGGAGCTCAAGTAGTGTTCTCCTCTCTCCCACCAGTTGTAGGGAGATCTGAGGCGATAAACAGAAAGAGCCAGCAGATCAATGCCTGGTTCCGAAACTGGTGCCACAGGCAGGACTTTGGGTTTTTTAATCACAGGTCGATTTACACTTCACCAGCTTTGGTGGCAACTGATGGGATATACCTGCCTCAAAGGGGCAATAGGATCCTGGGACAACGGTTAGCAAGGCTCCCAGTAAGATCTTTAAACTAGGTTTGAAGGAGGGAAGGGGGGAATGGTATATAACACAGCTTACAAGAAATGAGCCTGTGGGTGAAGCACTGACATGTGTGGGACGGTGCGCTAGTGACACTCTTCGGACTACTGTCCCAGTGGAGGTAGGAGATGGAGTTCCATACAGCAACCAAGAACTAATGGTGTAGTGATCATGGAAGTCCCTGAAAATGGCCTGGTAGAAATTAGGACTTCTCCCTGTGAAAAGATGGCAGCACCTTTAGTCCAACTGAAATGTGTGTACACACTAATGCGCACAGCATGGGCAATAAGCAGGAGAAACTGGAAGCCATTGTGCATCTGGATAACTACAATATAGTAGCTATGGAATGAGTCACACAACTGGAGTGCTG